AACAGACTGGTGATGGAGCCCCAAGACTCAGCAGGCTGTCCCTCCCTCCCTCCCTCCCCCTCTCCCCCTCTTCCTTCCTCCCTTCCTCCCTCCCTCTCCCTCTCCCCCTCCTCTCTTCCTCTCCCTCTCCCTCCTACCCCCTTCCCCCTTGCTCCCTCCTTCCCTCCCTCCCTTCCTCCCTCCCTCCCTTCCTCCTTTCCTTCCTCCCTCCCTTCCTCCTTTCCTTCCTCCCTCCCTGTCTATAGCCATTACAGATTATGCATTAGACAATTCTCACAAGAAGGGTCTTGAAGCCTTCAGAAAAGAATAACTCGAGTTAGCCACACTCTGTATTTGTTATGTACCTCTAGAGCACCAGGACCCATTTGATTTATAACAGAATGCATCTACTTTTGAGCTTATAGGACATTCTTGAAAAACCCTGATAGTAATCATATCTGTAATTAAATTAAATCTTGTAGGGATGATTTTCTTCTCAAGGATAGTTATTTTTAAAGTCATTTTTGCTAGTGCAGAGTAACAGGAATTTATTTTCCAGCACTGCCTTCATGTACAATTTTACAGCTATGCACCCAATTAACGTTGTTTCTATGGGGAAGGAAAAACCACCACAGAGAACGAAACCAAACAACTTGGTCAGCCTGGCTGAGTGTTACTGTCTATGGGACTCTTATCCCTTTGAAAATCTAAAGAAGAAATACAGATTTTTCTCCCCAGAGAAATGCAGCACTTACTAGACTTTGGATATAACTTTGGGACAGGAGGCATGAGAGGACCTCAAGCCTCAGGAGTTAGGATAAAGGATGGTGTTTGCCCAGCAGGAATGTGTCTGAGGTCCCAGGTAATTCTTCAGATCCACAATTCAATGTCCTTAATCAATGCAGAAAAATAGCCCAAAGCCACTCAGACACCACCTGAGATTTTTAAAATGAAGAATACCCTTGATAAATAAAACTCTTAATGAAATACAAGCAATTAAGCTAAAAGTTCTATCAAATGCAGCCTGTCACTCAGCAACCTGACACTTAATTGAATTTCTCTTTCCGCCCCCTGGCTCCTTTTTCCTGATAAACAAATTCATTCACTGCAGATCAAGTTTCCCTAACCCAGAAACCAACGACAGTCAATCAACTAATTGACACAACAAAAGACTTCTATTTTTTTAAGTTCCCCTAATTAAAGTGGAAATGAAATTTTATAATACTCTGGTGCCCGGTATTAATTACTCTGTGGTTAACCCTCTCCCTCCTTCTCGGGGACCTGGCAGCAGGGAGTAGAGGATCGGGAAGTCCCAGACCCAGACACAAGTCCAAGTTCCAGCTCTACCCTGAGTTCACTGTGTGACCTGGAGAATTTGCTTCTCCTCTCTGTTTTCCATCAGCTGTAACACAAGGGATAGAACTAGGTGGTTTCCAAGGCTGCTCCTGGCTCTAACTCTTATCTTTTATGATCCAGAGGACAGTGTCACGGCACAGTTCTCTCTCTGTGACTCATAGGTTTACCAGCACAGCTGGCAGAAGCTCTCCCAAAGCAGAGAACCGAAAACACAGCCCATTTACTTCAATAGGCTCCCTCTACCTGACAAACGCAGCTGCCAGGAACGCATCCACTGCTCTTCAAGCTGGGCATCCATCCCCACATTCCCAGGTACACCCCCAACATACACACATTCATACAAACCTCTTCTTGCAGCACACTGCTTCTCACGCTCATCTCACACACACACATACACACAGTTCAAGACCAGGTGCACACACAATGCATGCACTCATGCACGCACACATATACATAAACACACACCCCTTCCAGAGCAAGTCCCATCAATCAGGGTCATGCACGAACACACAGACACAAACACCACATGCTCCTGAAACACATATTTAACTGCATGTCCCTTTAGACAGTAGATAACTCAAATCTGTGCACACGTTCATCCCCCCCACCCCTGAGAAGTCAGCACACACGTGTGTAGCCCAGACTCCTTTTTAGAGCAAAGCCCCTCCAATGAGGCCATGCACACACGTTTGCACACTCACATGCCCCCCTCCTCACCATCACTGTCAAATATGAGCTTGCGCTGTGTTTGAGCAGGTTATCCAATTGCAAGAACGCTTTGGCGGGGTCAGCCCCAAGGATCTCCAAAACCTGACCGACCAGGACCTTCCCAAACTCTCTGTGTTCCAAAGTCTCTCATTCACCCAAGGGTTCCTGAGTGATGCCACTGTACCTGGCATTGCATGGGGAGGAGCACAGTGACTGGGACAGACACAGTCCCTATGGAGGACGCTCTGTTCCTGGCAGTTCCCAGCTGCCGGACATGGTGCCCAGCCCAGACTCCCTAGCAGGTAGTGAGGGCCCCGTCCCTGGACACTGGCACATCCAGGGGTCTCATTCAGAGGCAGCGTTTTCATGACATCATGGCCCCGGGACGGCCTTTGGGTCAGGTCTTACAAGACAGGAGTGGGTGTGCCAGGCAGAGACACAGCATGAACAAAGGCGGGGGGCTGGGATGGGGGCACCGAGAGGCAGCACAGTGCAGGGTGTGGGCGGCCCAGCTCTACTGCCTGCAGGGCTGCAGCAAATCACTCAACAGCACCAAGCTTCAACCACCTCGTCTACAAAATGGAGACAATAGCAGCAGCTGTCAGAGAAGGACCATCTACTCCCTCCACAAGTAGAGATCAGGCAGCTACTATGCCAGGCACTGTTCAAGGCACTTGGGGTTGCTCTGCAGAGCAAAGAGAGTGACAAATGCCAGCGATGCCATGCCCAGCCTGGCAGGACTCCCAGGCATGTGAAGGGGTGAAGTGGGCAGAAGGCCCCAAATGCCAGTGGGAAGATTGGTCCCTGGAATGAATGAACAGTAGGAAGGGTGGGAAGGGCAAGAGGCTGAGGCTGGAGTCAGGCTGGGAGGAAGGGGCCGTGGCGAGGGACAGGTGATGGAGACCCCAGGCTCAGGACACCTGTCCCTCTTCACAGTCTCACACTGTCTCAGCCCCAACCTTGCCTTGTCCCAGCTCCATTCCTCAAGGAGCCCCTTCCAGGGCAGGGGTCTGGCTTCCCCTGCAGCTTTGCAAATCCAGGCTGGGGTAGTGGGGGCAGGGGGCAGCGGGTACATTTCTTCCCCTTGGACCTGAAGCGGATGCTCTCGGCATCTAATGCCTTCTGTTTAGCTCATCTCCCTGTCTCTGTTTTCATGTTTTCCTCTCTCACGCTGGCTGTGTGGAGCACATCTCTCAGAAAATACTTGCTTTTGAAAGTTGTTGCCATAACAACCACTTCATTACACGCCAGGCCCAGTATCTCAGAAATGCAGAATCTTTCCTTAAAAGCGTGCGCTGCACATCAAAGGGGAATAGGAGCTCATTATTTTTACATTATTTTGCAGGCAAATAGATATTTTCCAATACACATTTCTTTTCTAAGTTGATTTTCTTGTTCAGTGGAAATGCACATTCCTTTCTTAACGCTTTCCTGCCTGTGGAGTGCAGGGCTTCGAAACCTGAGTCCCTCAAAACAGGAGGGAGAAAGCATTTCTTTGCTGGGCTGTTCATGCCTTGGTCCTCAGCAGCACTGCAGCTCATGAAGGGTAGTTTGCTCTAATTCGCAATTTGATCGCACCTAGACATTCTGGAAAAGGCCGGCATTGTTTATGCAGCATCCACAGCTTTCACTCATCTGACTTTGCACTAACCAAGATTTTGTAACAAGTGAGTTAATTATTTAAGGAGCCAAATCAAAACCAAACCAAACAACTTTCACCATATGGGATAGAGATGTGTTCCAGGATCCTGTTTTCTGAACCAGAGGGTGCTGTCCAAATTTCACAGTTCTCCGTAAGCGAATACCTCGCATGTCTCTCTCCCCTCGCCAGCATGTAGACACCATGATTTTTGTCTGTTTGAATCACGTCTTTATCACCAGCACCTAGAGCAGTGCCCAAGCCTGCAGACACTCAGTAAATACCTGCTGAATAAACTAATGATTATGCTGTGAATACTGTCTCCTCTAACAATTCTGCAGAAAAAAGGGATGATCAACCCCATTAGACAGATGAAGAGTTTGAGGCTCCAGTAAGTTAATTCAATAATAATATTAAGAACAATAATAAGCGCTAACTTGTAAACTTTTATTGAAGCATAATATGCATATAGAGAAGCGCACATTAGCATACTGCTCCCTGACTTTTCATAAACACCCCTGGGTAACTAACACCCAGATCAAGAAACAAAACATTTAGAGGGAGGAAGAAGACTGAGCAGGACTCACATCAGGGGTGACCTCACAGTAGCTCCCTAAACTACAGCAGATTTATCTTATGCAATCTTTTAAAATGTTTATTTCATTCTTTTGAACCAGGGTCTGGCTCTGTCACCTGGGTTGTAGTGCAGGGGTGCTATCACAGCTCACGGCAGCCTCAACCTCCTGGGCTCAAGCAATCCTCCCACCTCAGCCTCCTAAGTAGCTGGGACTACATGTGTGTGGCACCATGCCTAGCCAATTTTTTTATTTTTAGTAGAGATACGTCTCACTATGTTGCTCAGGCTGGTCTCAAGCTCCTGAGCTCAAGCAATCCTCCTGCCTCAGCCTCCCAAAATGCTGGGATTACAGGCATGAGCCACCTCTCTGCCATGGGACAAGAGACCAATTTTCTGGTTCCTTGTCCCACTGCAGAGTTGGGTCTGCAACCCCGAGCTTTCATGGTCTGTTCCAACTCCATTCTTCTGGGAGGTCCCCTCTCATTCCCTCAGGCCCCAAGGTCTGCAGTGCATTTACCATATTTGGGGCCTGTGCAGGGAGTTGGGGACACTTAACACAAAAAGGACAGAGTCCAGCCAGCAGCATCCCCACAGCACCGCCCAGGTCTGGGTGGCACAGTCTCACTTAGTCCCATCCGGCCTGTCCTCCCTCCATCCGAGCACCACTCACTCTACTGAGCCCTTGTTGGCTCTCAATTTTCTCTTTAATAAAAGACTAAATCTTCTCCCCATTCTCCTTACCGCTCTTGGAAGAAGCCAATGTGGTGTCTCTTGACCAGCTCACCTCCGCTTTCCTAATAACCTGTGTTACTGTCTGCCCTGGATTCTCTCCTGAGCCAGTTTTTAACATCTTATTGGTTCCTTCATTAATTAATGAGCTTAAAAAATATTTGGCACACATTTAAAAAAAAAAAAAGAAAACAAAGAATGAATCAATGCCTTTGGAGCCTTTGCCATGAGCGTGAGCACCTCCCGCCTTGCCGAGTTTTACACTCCCTAAGACCCAGGGCCTAATGCCAGACAAGCCTCTCTTCATGAACAGGGACAGCTCCTTGCCTGTTTTCTGACACCTTTTGCAGCAGCCTGGATGGCTGTGCTGTAAAAAGCCACTCCACCCTGGGCCCAGAGCGTGCGTTTGGCAACGGTGTTCCTTTAATGGATGCACATGTGTCTATTGTGAGTGCAAACATAATGGTCGCCATGGAGATGTGGTCACAATGACTAATTAGACAAAAGAGTGTTTCTCAAGCCTTGAAAGACATCACGGATGTCATAAACGAGCATCGTCTTATTCCGTTGATGTATTCCTTCTCATTTCTCCCTAGAAACATCAATACATGGTCCCTGGCAACATGACCTTATTATGAAATCATACCCTTTTTTTGAGATGGAATTTTGCTCTGCCACCCAGGCCAGAGTACAATGGCACAATCTCAGCTCACTGCAACCTTCACCTCCTGGTTTCAAGCAATTATCCTGCCTCAGCCTCCTAAGTAGCTGGAATTATAGACATGCCCCACCACGCCCAGCTAATTTTTGTATTTTTAATAGAGACAGGGTTTCACCATGTTGGCCAGGCTGGTTTCGAACTCCTGACCTCAAGTGATCCACCATCTTGGCTTCCCAAAGTGCTGGGATTACAGGCATGAGCCACAGTGCCTGGCCTGAAGTCATATTCTTTAACCACCTGGTTAGAACCTTCCAGATCCTTAACTGCAGGATTCCAATCCCGGCACACATTCCTAAGGCAACAACAGGGCACTGGTTCACGGCTAGCATTTACAGACTGGACTGTCCGACTCCGGCCCTGCCTGCTCACTCTCATGGTGGCTGTTAAAAAGACCAGGGTTACTCCAAGCTATGGGGCCCTCACAGCTCCCTCCACCCCACCAGCCTGACTCAGCCGTCAGCTGCCCCACTGGGCTCACCCCAATACCTTCACTGATATGTTTCAGGTTGCTGCATGGGATTCTTCTTATCATGCCCCTCCCTAACAAGGCTGGGGGCATTGAGTATTAAATATCCTGCATTCTGGTTTTTGTCTCTGAGATGGAGGCTCACTCTGTTACCCAGGGTGGAGTGCAGTGGCACAATCTCAAATCACTGCAACCTCCACCTCCTGGGTTCAAGTGATTCTCATGCCTCAGCCTCCCAAAGTGCTGGGGTTACAGGCATGAGCCACCTCACCTGGCTCTGATTGCTTTCATATCTTTGTCTTTCTTAACATCTGTTCTCTCTCTATTCATAATTCCATTTTCAGCAGGGTCTCTTCCGGTTTTGCCATTTATAATTAATTTGGGGTTCTGTAATGTTATTTGATCTCAGTTTGTTTCCTTAACTCTCTCTTTTCTGTGTCATCTTGTTTAATCATCTCATTTCTGAAATTTTGTTTTACCAAATTCCTGTTCTTGTTGTCTTTTTTATTTTTATTTTATTTTTTACAGTCTTGCTCTGTCACCCAAGCTGGAGTGCAATGGCACGATCTCGGCTTGCAACCTCCACTTCCCAGGTTCAAGAGATTCTCCTGCCTCAGCCTCCTGAGTAGCTGGGATTACAGACCGCCACCACGCTTGGCTGATTTTTTGTATTTTTAGTAGAGACGTGGTTTCACCATGTTACCCAGGCCTGTTTCAAACTCTCGAGCTCAGGCAATCTGCCCGCCTTGGCCTCACAAAGTGCTGGGATTACAGGTATGAGCCACCACATGTGGCCTGTTCTGTCCCTTTATATCAGAGAGCACCTGTGTGAAATTTTCTTCCAGTTTGGGGTTATTTCTTCTTCTAGACTGAATTCTTTGTCCTTATGGTGCTTTTCTTCTTGGGGTTTTGGTAGGAGTGTGTTTGCATAGTTTCCATCAGTTTCTTACTTGCTTGTGGGCATTTCTGTTCAAATATTATTTTTGCTGTTATACAGTGTGAACATGGACTCATTTCTCAGTGTGTGTGTGATAGGTTTTCCCATAGTTTGAGGTCCAGATATCTTTTGTTTTGAACATTTTCCTTTAGCCTGGGATCATGGCGGGATGAGGGAAGGAAAGTAATAAAGCTCACTGGGCAGAGCATATTTCTGGAAGAAATGTGTTCTCACTTCTGAGGGTGTGAAAATCTGCTAGGCGTGCACTTCCCTGGGCAGAAACATAGTTTCCTTTAGAATGTGGGAGAGTCAGCTGGGCATGGTAGCACACACTTGTAATCCCCACTATTTGGGAGGCTGAGGTGGGAAGATTGCTTGAGCCCAGGTATTTGAGGCTGCAGTGAGCTGTGACTGTGCCACTGCACTCCAGCCTGGATGACAGAGCGAGGCCTCATGTCTTAAAAAACAAAAATAGGGCCGGGCGTGGTGGCTGTACACCTGTAATCCCAGTACTTTGAGAGGCCGAGGCAGGAGGACCATTTAAGGTCAGGAGTTTGAGCCCAGCCTGGCCAACATGGTGAAACCCTGTCTCTACTAAAAATACAAAAATTAGCTGTGCATGGTGGTGCATGCCTGTAGTCACAGCTACTCAGGAGGCTGAAGCAGGAGAATCACTTCAGAGGTTGCCTACTTGGGAGGCTGAGGCGGGAGAATAACTGGAACCCAGGAGGCGGAGGCTGCAGTGAGCCAAGACTATACCAGTTCACTCTAGCCTGGCGAGACAGAGCAAGACTCTGTCTCAAACAAACAACAAGAAAAGGAAAGAAAAGAATAGAAAGTAATCAGAAGGAAGCCAATATATATTGAAGAAAGCCAAAGATGATCCTACACTAAAAAGTTTGGTACAGCAGCAACAAATAATACAGGAAAAAAGTATTCCAAGTTACAAGAAAATCTCCCTTACATAAAGACAAACTGATTCTTCAGAATAGGACATTTGATAGAGAATACACACCACCAACACACCCTGAGTCATTGAATTTCATGGATAAAGAGTAAATTTGGAACCAGGCATGGTGGCAGATGCTTGTAATCCCAACATTCTGGAAGGCTGAGGCAGGAAGATCATTTGAGCTCAGGAGTTTAAGGCCAGCCTGGGCAACATAGTGAGACCTCATCTCTACAAAAGTGAAAAAAAACTAGTTGGCTACAGTGGCGCATGCCTGTGGTTTCAGCTACTTGGGAGGCTGAGGTGGGAGGACGACTTGGGCCTGGGAAGTCAAGGGTACAGTGAGCCGTGGTCACACCACTGCACTCTAGCCTGGGCAACAGAGCAAGATCCTGTCTCAAAAATAAATAAATAAATAAGGAAATTCTTTGAGACAGGTAACAGGTCAACCACAGTGTATATCTTCACTCCCTCCTGAAATCCTACCAAAATGACACTAAATATCTTGAAGGCATAAGATCTCAAGAACAAATATAACAGAGATGACAGCAGATAAGAGATGTCATCAAAATCTGGAAGATAAAAAGTGAATGAATGAGTGGTAACTGACCCAGCAAATCAAAAAAAGTTAAGTCGTGTGTGTGCCTGCAGGGTGAAGAACCTGCGAACAGAAAATCTATTTGAGCCACAAAACTCTGCATTGACCAGAATCCCTCTGAAGGCTGGGGTGCAATAGAGGCTGGAAACAGAAGTGGCTAAGCATCTGCCTGATTAGCATTTAGAACCCAGGCCCCCTTTTATGAGCCCGTACAGTCAGATAATGATGCTCCCTACCCTCAGCAAAAGGTGGGAGATTCACTCCCTGGAGATATTGAAGCCAGAGACTTGAAAAGGAACATCATATACAGCTAATAATAGGTATGAGACATGGTGATGAAAACATTAGGATGAAGATTTGCCTTGCTTCCCCTTCACCTTCTGCCATGATTGTAAGTTTCCATGGCCTCCCCTGCCATGCAGAACTGTGAGTCTAATAAATCTCTTTTGTTTATAAATTACCAAGTCTCCAGTAGTATCTTTAGAGCAGTGTGAGGATGGACTAACGCAGATTATCTTCTATTATTTTCTGGAAAAGGCAAAGCTACAGGTACAGAAGCCAGATCAGTGATTGCCAAGGTCCAAGTGAGGGAGGAGGAGCCCATCAGGGAAGAGACTATTGGCGATGATGGAGCCACTGCACATCTTGATGGACACATGGTTGTGCTTATTCAGAACTCCAAGCACTAAACATACACTTCTGTGAAGAGTGCATGAGAAAAGGACAAGGATGGTGATATAGTTTGGCTGTGTCCCCACCCAAATCTCATCTTGAATTATAGCCCCCACAACTCCCACGTGTTGTGGAAGGGACCTGGGGAGCAGTAATTGAATCATGGGAGTGGGTCTTTCCTGTGCTAGTCTCATGATAGTGAATACAGCTCATGACATCTGATAGTTTTATAAAGGGGAGCTTCCCTGCACAAGTTCTGTTCTCTTGTCTGCCGCCATGTAAGACATGCCTTTCACTTTCCACCATGATCATGACGCCTCCCTAGCCACATGGAACTGTGAGTCCATTAAACCTTCTTCTTTTGAAAATTGCCCAGTCTCAGGTATGTCTTTATCAGCAGCATGAAAATGGACTAATACAAAAGGAAAAGTTGGTCACAGACTTTTCATAGAATATGCCTGTCTTCTGATTTAATGAAGGACAAATTCACATTACTCTCTCCAAAATCCCACCATTACATTAATTTAAGTATTTTGTCTGAGGAGAATGCCATTGTTAATTGTGCTTACAATAAAGTACAAAGATTTGAAAAAACCATGTAACTCCAATTGCAGTGTTTCTCCTAATCTCTTGTTAAACAGATCTTAGCTGGGTGTGATGGCTTATGCCTATAATCCCAGCATTTTGGGAGGCCAAGGTGGGTGGATTGCTTGAGACCAGGAGTTCAAGACCAGCCTGGCCAACATGGTGAAACCCCATCTCTACTAAAAATACAAAATTAGGTGGGCGTGGTGGTGTGTGCCTGTAATCCCAGCTACTTGGGAGGCTGAGGCAGGAGAATCGCTGGAACCTGGGAGGTGGAGTTTGCAGTGCACTGAGATTGAGCCATTGCACTTTTTGCCTGGGCAAAAAGAACAAAACTTCATCTCAAAAAAAAAAAAAAAAAACTTAGAGGGATCTTTTAGGAACCAATTCCGTTGGTGATAATGTAATATTTATTTAAGATTCAGAGCCCTTTGGTTTTACTTATTTCCTTGTCTTCTGTTTATGTTAAATAAAATTACCT